TCGGGTTGGGTTTACCGTTTACGGACCAGTATAGGCAAAAGGATCAACCATTTTGGTGGTGGTAGTAACCGAGTTGACTTCAGAGGGCTTCACAGTTGTGCTACCACTTGTAGTAGCATGGGAACTGTGCCTAAATGTTTTTCGTATAGGTTCTTTGTCTTAAAAAATGATTCCTTACTTGATGGCATCTTCTATCTGAACCCCTATTTCATGTAGTTCTTTAAAAGTGAATAGTGGAAGGACTATCATCTGTTGCAGTATCTTGCTATGCAAATTCCTTACCACCATGTGAATTTGATCTTTCTTAAGTGGCCTATTGGTTATCATTGCCACATTTGCTCTGCACCTGGTGATGAAGGCTACAAAACTTTCATTTGACTCTTGGCGGGCTGTTTCTAACTCTAGGGTGGTGACTTTAATCTGAGCATTATAGGCATACTGGGTGATAAAGGCCTCGACTAATTCTTCCCAGCTTTGTTTCATTGAGTCCTCTAACTTGGCATACCAGATGATAGCTACACCTGACAAAGTCCGTTTGAATAGGGAGATTTTTTGTAAACGAGTCAAACCCATAGGGTTCAAAACATTAGAGAATAGGTCGATGTGCACCATTGGGTCACTAGATCCATCGAATCTATCAATATGTGGCATCTTGAATCGTTCGGGCAACTTCACAACTGTTTCAATATATCCGTTTTCAATGTCTTGGATTGAGTTGATTCCTTGTGACCTTTTGAACAATTTTTCCAACTTGGTTAGTTTCAACATAGTCGGATCGAACTCAGTTGTTTCTAGGGGGAAAAAGCCCTTCTGTTGGTTGTGAAGGGGAAATGGCCTTCCGGACGATTGCACAAGAACCCTTAGGTCTTTTGGTAAGATGGGCTTAGGAAACTCCTCAGCTGGTGGAGGTGAAGTTGGGATTGCATGAGTCACCGGAGGTAGCTGGGTACTGGCTGTCCCAGATGGGTGTCGCAGTTTAGCGAGAACATCACTGTGGATGGCAACTGTAGTGGTAATAGTATCCATGCCTCATTGAAGAGCCAAAAACATGTCTACTGTATTTTCAAGGATATGAGCCATTGTTGATTCTGGTGAAGAAGGGGTGCTTTGGACAGTTGATGAAGCTTTCGCTCTTTTTATGTGTGTAATCGGTGACAAAGAAACTAACACTGGTTGACTCGCAACCAAATCTGTGATTTTGCAGAGTCTACCAACGCGAGTCCAAAGAACTTGTGGGATATCAGGCCGTTCTGAAGCTATAGTGCACGACTACTTAGCAAAAACAACGAAACCCACAATCAGAATTTCAGCAGCATTTTGGCTCAATTGATCATTATACAACATGTTGAAACAATGAATTCAATCCCTCAAAATGAAATGCCTGAATCACTTATCAGAATTTAAGAACCTCAAATCCCATACATCGCACATAGCAGGAAAGACAACAAACACCCCTATGAAGGGTAGGGTGGTCTTGTCCTATCTTTGACATGATTTATGGTTTCACTATTCAAATAAGTGGCATCATATAGCTTAGCATGGGGTAGCATCTTGTCCTAATTTGGAAGTTGCTAAAGCTTACTATATGTACTAAGTCAGTCTTGGTCAAAAAGGGTATCTTAGCGAGACACCGATATACCTACCCAATCCGAAGGATCAAGTGGTACGTGGTGATCCTGATTCCAAGGTTTGTGCTCCTACCATATTAGAGCCCATGTCAGTTTATCTGCCCAAAGCCGAATAGCCATCCTGAATAACAAGCGACGAGCACAGGACTTAGGCGCACCAATGCATGCAATGCAATGAACTTATAATTGAAAATAAAAAAACATATCATGGAGTTCGAGTCAAGATTTCTTAATATCACCAGTGGAGTCGCCAGAAACTATAACATGTCCGGGAGGTACCCGTGCACGTTAACAGTTTGGACATGAGTGTAATGTGAAACGTAAATGAGAGTCCAGATTTGACAACTTTTATAGAAATTTATTTAATTGCAAAAATTTTTGCCAAAAACATACTACATCACTAGATCTTAGAATTGCCACCTAATATTTTTGAGAAATTAGGAAACCTGTGACTTGTGTTAAGGCCACTATTCGTCATAACTGAAGTTGCTTGGAATAATTCGATTTCATGTATTTTTGAAAGCATTTTAAACAACTTGACGGAAACTTGAGTTTGCGACACGAAAATCAATTTTGTTCCAAATTGAACAACACAACCTCCATCCATAGGCAGTCATAGAGATATATCAAATAAGCACATAGCTGCACGGTAGGATACTAAACATAGTAAGAAAAACGCACACAAACGAGATACTAAAGCATAAAAGCTTACATATTTACTAGGGTCCCGCAAGCAATTACAAATTAAAGTTAGTAAAACATGTATGATCCTATATACAAAATTCTAATGCAATTCATTCACTATATGCAACTAGTGATTCGGCTTCTAAAACATGACATATGATATCATGAACATGAAGTTGCGCACAAAATCATGTAATGATCGATTAAACTCACAAATGCAAATTTAGTCGAATCACGATGCATCAAACATAGATGTAAAGCAAGGATATGATGATAAACAAAATATACAACAAATGTATAGACATAGAAAGCAAGTAAAGAATGGGGTAGAAAGAAGCGGGGTGGGGAAGTATTATAACATTTGAATATTACAAATCCGAATAGGGGGAAAGAAAGAAAATATTACAACAAAATATCCTTACAAATATCTCTGAAATTAAAAGAAAAGCAGAAAAAAAAAACAAAACAAAAACAAAAACAAACAACCAAACAAACAAACAAAACAAAAGCTTCAGGGTGGCCTCAGAGACCATCAAAGGCTGTTCTTCTCAACGCGGGGAGGTTGTTGGATTATGTCCAGAAGAGGTTGGCTGGCCAGCGAGCCAAAAGAAGAGCTGTTGGCCGGCCGGCCAATCAGACCAGGCCAAAACTCTGTTTTCTACTTTTCAAGCACAAAAGACAGAAACAAGCAGGGAATATGTGGGTGCTTAGCTAACCACTTTCAGTTAGAGTATAGCAAGCTTACAATATGAAATGAAATGAAATGAAATAAAAAAGCTCAAAATAAGAAAGATAGTAAAAGAGAAGAAAGTGTGCATGTTCACCTTCCAAGGAAAGGATTTGATTTTCAAACTTTCTTTTGATCACCCTCAAGTTTCAGAAGTATATTTCTTAATTCTCAGTTTGAAAATTTAAAATTCTTATGTGAACGGTATTTTGGGGTGTTTAACAGAATGTGTGGGGGAACTCCCTGTTTTCCTCTATTTTCCTCTCTTTTTAAAACGCTCACTCTTTTTTGATTAAGACTACTAAGGTTTGGCTATATCAGAGTTTTTGGGATGGTTTTGGTGTCTCAAGGATAGTATATCAATGTGTGGTAATGTATATTTGAAAATGAAAGTTTTTGGTTCAAAGCTTAAACTTCTCTTTTTCTCTCTAACTTTCGTTTTTTGAAATCAATCCTCCTCTCCTAATAATTTGATTACCTTCATATAGGCAATACAAGAATGCATAGTGGAAAAGGTGGTGGGAGACAAGGTTGAAAACAAAGGCCATAAAATGACAAAGGCCAAGGACTTTGTTGAAGAGGCCAACTCTCTTGACAATGAGAGATGGGTAGATATACATATGCAAGGCTCAATCAAGCAGGTAGGAGGGCACAAGGTAGAAGGCAAGGATGATGGAGTGACAAGGATGGCTGCATTGGATACTCCTTTTGGGGTAAGAGACAAATCCTCTTTTGACAATGGAGGCTAAAGGAAGATAGTGCAAGGTCAAGAGATGTGCATCTCGTGTATGCATGTATCAAGAAATATCTGAAATAGCATGTTCCACACACTTCTAGCAAGAATTTTGTTAAAACTACTCTGTTTTTCTTGGCTGGCTGACCAATTACTTGGCTGGCCGGCCGACCAAAACGTTGGTTGTGGTTGACTGTTTTGCATGAAACTGGTTTTTTCGACATAATTCTCATCCTTTCCTCTTATTTCCACATTGTTCTTTGCTCAATTTCCTGAGAAAATGTTTCATTTTGAAGTTTAAAAATGAGTCTCGGAACACTACGAAAATATTCGAAACAAAGCGCGGAACGAAAGTTTCAAAAGAGAGTTTTGAATGGGACATAATCATTTGGCCAAAATAGGCTTAGGCTTAGGCTTAGAAATGAAGCAAAAATTTCGTCTTTCTTACTAAGGATGTTGCGAGAAATGCCTTCATATTTTCATTATCGAGTAATCAAAAGAAAACGTCTAAATCTTAGGGCTGGTCAAAATGGGATCTACAATCACAACTCTCATAAATGAGATTAACCAATTCACAAATCTTTCAATACACATAACATTAACCAATACCCTTTTTGTTTCTCTGAAGTTTTGATTTTTTGAGAATTATTATTACTTAACAATTATAAAACCATAAATAACAATGAACACAAATTAAACTCTGAGTTTCTTTATTGTCTTATATACCAATTTTCACATTTTTAATATACAACACCCCATATGGGTCAAATAAAATAAGATCACCAATTTTCTCCCCTTTCTCATAACCTATAAACAATTAATTAGGGCTTTTTACTCTAATCCGTTTAAACATCAAACATTACAATCTCATATATTCATAACAAAACACAAGATTTAACTCTTGATCATAAAATCCTAACCCTCATCACATGGTTTTCGAAAATACCCAACAAATCAAGTTTTTAATGCAATAAAAACTACCACAGCTATCTATAATAAGGTATTGAAAAGGAGTAAAGCAATCCCTATCTCAAAGAGAGAAGAGGAGAAAACTCTAAAAATCAACTTCACCAGAAGTTGATCTCCACCGGTTAAAACGTAGCCCTCGAGACGCTTGTCATTTTTGTATAAGGAATTAGTATCAAAATCTCGCTTGATCTTTGTAGATTGAAGAAAATGTGAAAATTTAGTGAGAGTTTAGAGAGAAGGGAGAGAAAAGAGATGTTAGCGAGAGAGAGAGAGAGAGAGAGAGAGTGTGTGTGTGTGTGTGTGATGAGAAATGGTCAAAAAGAGAGAAAATGATCTGATTTCAGTGAAAAGAGCACATAAATCGACATTTGGACTTGCAAAATCCGCTTATGTGGATTTTAAAATCGTTCGTGCGGATCAACTCAGGGAAAACATGGTTTTCTTGCCAAATCTGCTTCTGTGGAATTCAAATTTCCACTCATGTGGATTTGACCAGACAATTTTTGTTGGGTGACTTCAAACAAGCGTTGTTTGGAAACGGAATATGGTCAATTTTGTGTCTAGATTGAAGCTCCAGAAATAAATTTTTCAACGGCTCTAGCCTCACATCAAGATTCAAAATGTGGAGGAAGAAAAGGCAAAGAGTGAACACTATTCAAAACAAATATTTGATTCTGGAAATTTTGGTCTAATCTTGCCCAACCAACAAGTTAACTCATCAATCAAAGGCTCCAAACAATGATGAGGATGTTTCAATTATAATAACTAAAAAGTCCAACTACAACCCGTAACTTTTCAAAAGTAAAAAAAAAAGAAAAGAAAAAGAAAACATAAATATAAAATAACGATTACCACTTAACATAAACAACTCAGAATTAAAATCCGGGACACTGCAATATCTTTACTAAAATCCCTTCCCATTACACATTTTTATTATTTGAAAACCAAACTAATGGTTTCTGACGTACCCATTAGTTTGAGGGGAAGTAAAGCAAAATAATGTGTTGGATTTGTTTTAGAGTGAGTATAGTTAATGATAGTTAGTTTGATGAGAGTTAGGCCTCGTTTGGGAATATGTTAATTTAGTAATTTTTTAGTTATTTGGCTAAAATATGAGCTAAAAAAAACTAGTATGTTTGGGATGACTTTTTGACTTTTCACGAAAAGATGTGTAAAAAATAGAGAGAAAAAAGAATCTTTGACTTTTTGGTATGGGTTGTTGCCTTTTTAGCTTTTTTTAGTAACTTTTTTACTTTTTGGCTAAATCGGTCGCTTCCCAAACGAGGCCTTAGTCATGGTATGGTTAAGAGTTGGCTTGACTGTTGATATATAAAAATGCTTGGAAATAATTTTACTTTGTAAGAGTTTTTCCATTCATTGACTAAATTTTTCATTTAATTTGATTCAAAATTTAAGTTAAAAGTTTGATTTGATATGTATTATTTCAATCATCTCATCAAGTTTTTATCAATTTTTTAAAAAAGTTTCTCTCTTATTCCAAATTTCACTTTTTATTAAATTTGATGAAAAAAAAAAAAAATTTATTTCAAGCATTTCATCTTTTTCAATTTTCATAAAATTCAAATTTGACAAGAAATTTAATAAGTTCTTAATTTGATTTAAAAAAATGATTCCCCTTTAATTTAACAAACATTTAATGAAATGCTGTGAATGATTTTTAAATGTATTTTATTAAATTTAAATTTAATAATAATAAAAATAAGTGATTGAAGATGTTCTAACTTAAAAGAAATAGAGTAAAAATAAATGAAGAAACATAATTGGAGAGAGAGAATTTTATTTTTTATATTCTTCCATCTGAAAAGCAAGAAGCAATAATCTTGAAATAGTACAGGAATAAAAACACAAAAGAGCCTGCAAAAATCTTTCTTCCTACTCTAGTAAAGGTTGTAACCAATGGACAAAAAGACAAGGATCAGAAAGAGAATGTAGGCTGCTTCTTGATTATTGGATTTCAAATTTGTGGCTGAGAAATCTTGCATGTACAGTAAAGTCTGCATCACAGCGTTCCATGAACTTGTGAAAGTTTGACATGGATTGCATATATTTGTTTTAAGAAATACAACCCAAGTATCACCATTATCAACTATAAAAAAATACAATCCAAGTATCACCATTATCAACTATAAAAAATAGGAAAACCTCAATCTTTAATTTATATCCACTAAGAACTTGTGAAAGGAGGAGAGAGAGAGAGAGAGGGACAAAAACCTGGGATTTGCAGCAGTGGCGGTGGTGATTTCCGGCGGTGGCGATGGCGACGGCGACGGTGACCTGCGACGATAGCCATCGACGTGCGACGGTGGAACCGACGTCAGGTTTGGTGGTGAGTGATCAGAGATGGGTGCTCCTTACGACGGTGTGGGGCAGCTCTCTATAGAATGAGAGAAAGAGAGATGAAAGAGGATGAGAGAAGAGTAAGAGGTGAGATATTTTTATTTTACATAAGATGGTTATTGGCGACTAAAATCTTTAGTCGCTGAAAATATTTTAAAAATCCCTCCAAAATATTTCAAACGTCTCCCTCCTAAAATTTTAGTTCTTTGGCGACCAAAACTATTTTTTGTCGCTGAAAATAAACCTTTGGCGACTAACATTTTGGTCACCAAAAGGTAAAAAATAATTTTTTATTTTTTATTGGGCGACTAATGATTTTAGTAGCCAAAACTCTATATACGGCGACTAAAATTATTTTTTGTCGCTGAAAATACACCTTTGGCGACCAAAATTTTGGTCGCCAAAGGTAAAAAATAATTTTTTATTTTTCATTCGGCGACTAAGTCGTTTTAGTAGCCAAAAATTAATGTACGGTGACTAAATTTTTTTTTTGTCGCCAATTCTTTTATTTTTAGCGACTAAATTCTTTTTTAATCGCCAATAATCAATATATCTCGACTAAAAAAATTAGTAACTAAATATTGTACTTTAGGCGACTAAAAAAAATTTGGTCGCCAATTCCACAACTTTTGGTGGCTAAATTTGTTTTAGTCACCAATTTTGGTTGCCAAAGGTGTATTTTGTTGTAGTGAATGCAATTCACTCATGAAATGCAACTAAAGATCCAGCTTCTAATATATGACATGTGAATTATCTCAAGAACATGAGATAGCACACAAAATCACATAATAAATTATTAAAGCCACATATGCAAATTTAGCCGAATCTTAAGACATGTAACGTGGATGCAAAACATGGATATGATGACAAGAAAAATATACTGCATATTTACAGAATAAGGAAAGCAAGTAAAAGAACGGGATATAAAGAAACGGGGTGGAAAATTATTACATCACTTTGAATATTACATGTCTGAATAAGGGAGGAGATGAAGAAAAATATTACAACAAAATATATCCTCACAAATCTCTCTAATTAAAACAAAAACCAAAAAAACGAACAAACAAACAAACAAAACAAAAGCTTCAGGGTGGCCTCAGAGACCATCAAAGGCTATTTTTCTCAACGCGGGGAGGTTGTTGGATTATGTCCAGAAGAGGTTGGCTGGCCAGCCAGCCAAAAGAAGAGCTGTTGGCCGGCCGACCAATCAGACCAGGCCAAAACTCTGTTTTCTACTTTTCAAGCACCAAAGACAGAAACAAGCAGGGAATATGTGGGTGCTTAGCTAACCACTTTCAGTTAGAGTATAGCAAGCTTACAATATGAAATGAAATGAAATGAAATCAAAAAGCTCAAAATAAGAAAGATAGTAAAAGAGAAGAAAGTGTGCATGTTCACCTTCCAAGGAAAGGATTTGATTTTCAAACTTTCTTTTGATCACCCTCAAGTTTTAGAAGTATATTTCTTAGTTCTCAGTTTGAAAATTTAAAATTCTTATGTGAACGGTATTTTTGGGTGTTTAACAGAATGTGTGGGGAAACTCCCTGTTTTCCTCTATTTTCCTCTCTTTTTAAAATGCTCACTCTTTTTTGATTAAGACTACTGGCTATATCAGAGTTTTTGGGATGGTTTTGGTGTCTCAAGGATGGTATATCAATGTGTGGTAATGTATATTTGAAAATGAAAGTTTTTGGTTCAAAGCTTAAACTTCTCTTTTTCTCTCTAACTTTCGTTTTTTGAAATCAATCCTTCTCTCCTAATAATCTGATTACCTTCATATAGGCAATACAAGAATGCATAGTGGAAAAGGTGGCGGGAGACAAGGTTGAAAACAAAGGCCATAAAATGACAAAGGCCAAGGACTTTGTTGAAGAGGCCAACTCTCTTGACAATGAGAGATGGGTAGATATACATATGCAAGGCTCAATCAAGCAGGTAGGAGGGCACAAGGTAGAAGGCAAGGATGATGGAGTGACAAGGATGGTTGCATTGGATACTCCTTTTGGGGTAAGAGACAAATCCTCTTTTGACAATGGAGGCTAAAGGAAGATAGTGTAAGGTCAAGAGATGTGCATCTCGTGTATGCATGTATCAAGAAATATCTGAAATAGCATGTTCCACACACTTCTAGCAAGAATTTTGTTAAAACTACTCTGTTTTTCTTGGCTGGCTGACCAATTACTTGGCTGGCCGGCCATTTAATTTAGTCGACCTGCCAATTACTTTGCTGGCCGGCCGACCAAAACGTTGGTTGTGGCTGACTGTTTTGCATGAAACTGGTTTTTTTCGACATAATTCTCATCCTTTCCTCTTATTTCCACATTGTTCTTTGCTCAATTTCCTGAGAAAATGTTTCATTTTGAAGTTTAAAAATGAGTCTCGGAACACTACGAAAATATTCGAAACAAAGCGCGGAACGAAAGTTTCGAAAGAGAGTTTTGAATGGGACATAATCATTTGGCCAAAATAGGCTTAGGCTTAGAAATGAAGCAAAAATTTTGTCTATCTTACTAAGGATGTTGTGAGAAATGCCTTCATATTTTCATTAGCGAGTAATCAAAAGAAAACGTCTAAATCTTAGGGCTGATCAAAATGGGATCTACAATCACAACTCTCATAAATGAGATTAACCAATCCACAAATCTTTCAATACACATAACATTAACCAATACCCTTTTTATTTCTCTGAAGTTTTGATTTTTTGAGAATTATTATTACTTAACAATTATAAAACCATAAATAACAATGAACACAAATTGAACTCTGAGTTTCTTTATTGTCTTATATACCAATTTTCACATTTTTAATATACAACACCCCATATGGGTCAAATAAAATAAAATCATCAATTTTCTCCACTTTCTCATAACCTATAAACAATTAATTAGGGCTTTTTACTCTAATCCGTTTAAACATCAAACATTACAATCTCACATATTCATAACAAAACACAAGATTTAACTCTTGATCATAAAATCCTAACCCTCATCACATGGTTTTCGAAAATACCCAACAAATCAAGTTTTTAATGCAATAAAAACTACCACAGTTATCTATAATGAGGTATTGAAAAGGAGTAAAGCAATCCCTATCTCAAAGAGAGAAGAGGAGAAAACTCTAAAAATCAACTTCACCAGAAGTTGATCTCCACCGGTTAAAACGTAGCCCTCGAGACGCTTGTCATTTTTGTATAAGGAATTAGTATCAAAATCTCGCTTGATCTTTGTAGATTGAAGAAAATGTGAAAATTTAGTGAGAGTTTAGAGAGAAGGGAGAGAAAAGAGATGTTAGCGAGAGAGAGAGAGAGAGAGAGTGTGTGTGTGTGTGTGTGATGAGAAATGGTCAAAAAGAGAGAAAAGGATCTAATTTCAGTGAAAAGAGCACAGAAATCGACATTTGGACTTGCAAAATCCGCTTATGTAGATTTTAAAATCGTTCGTGCGGATCAACTCAGGGAAAAAATGGTTTTCTTGCCAAATCTGCTTCTGTGGAATTTAAATTTCCACTCACGTGGATTTGACCAGACAATTTTTGTTGGGTGACTTCAAACAAGCGTTGTTTGGAAACGGAATATGGTCAATTTTGTGTCTAAATTGAAGCTCTAGAAATAAACTTTTCAATGGCTCTAGCCTCACATCAAGATTCAAAATGTGGAGGAAGAAAAGGCAAAGAGTGAATACTATTCAAAACAAATATTTGATTCTAGAAATTTTGGTCTAATCTTGCCCAACCAACAAGTTAACTCATCAATCAAAGGCTCCAAACAATGATGAGGATGTTTCAATTATAATAACTAACAAGTCCAACTACAACCTGTAACTTTTCAAAAGTAAAAAAAAAAAGAAAAAGAAAACGTAAATATAAAATAACGATTACCACTTAACATAAACAACTCAGAATTAAAATCCGGGACACTGCAATATCTTTACTAAAATCCCTTCCCATTACACATTTTATTATTTGAAAGCCAAACTAATGGTTTCTGACGTACCCATTAGTTTGAGGGGAAGTAAAGCAAAATAATGTGTTGGATTTGCTTTAGAGTGAGTATAGTTAATGATAGTTAGTTTGATGAGAGTTAGGTCTCGTTTGGGAACATGTTAATTTAGTAATTTTTTGATTATTTGGCTAAAATATGAGCTAAAAAAAACTAGTATGTTTGGGATGACTTTTTGACTTTTTACGAAAAGATGTATAAAAAATAGAGAGAAAAAAGAATCTTTAACTTTTTGGTATGGGTTGTTGCCTTTTTAGCTTTTTTTAGTAACTTTTTTTACTTTTTAGCTAAATCAGTCGCTTCTCAAACGAGGCCTTAGTCATGGTATGGTTAAGAGTTGGCTTGACTGTTGATATATAAAAATGCTTGGAAATAATTTTACTTTGTAGGAGTTTTTCCATTCATTTACTAAATTTTTCATTTAATTTGATTCAAAATTTAAGTTAAAAGTTTGATTTGATATGTATTATTTCAATCATCTCATCAAATTTTTATCAACTTTTTAAAAAATTTTCTCTCTTAATCCAAATTTCACTTTTTATCAAATTTGATGAAAAAAAAAAAAAATTATTTCAAGCATTTCATCTTTTTCAATTTTCATAAAATTCAAATTTGATAAGAAATTTAATAAGTTCTTAATTTGATTTAAGAAATACAACCCAAGTATCACCATTATCAACTATAAAAAAATACAATCCAAGTATCACCATTATCAACTGTAAAAAATAGGAAAAACCTCAATCTTTAATTTATATCCACTAAGAACTTGTGAAAGTATGACATGGATTGCAAATATTTGTTTTAACAAATACAATCCAAGTATCACCATTATCAACTATAAAAAATAGAAAAAACCTCAATCTTTAATTTATATTCACTAAGAACTTGTGAAAGTATGACATAGATTGCAAATATTTGTTTTAACAAATACAATCCAAGTATCACCATTATCAACTATAAAAAATAGGGAAAACCTCAATCTTTAATTTATATCCATCCACTAATTCACTAACCTTATACCCAATTTTTGGCCATAATTGAAACTTCTTTTTAACATACCTTGTGTCCCGTAGTCATTTATGACTTTTGAGATGTTAAACTAAATATTAAAATTATGTTTGAATTATGAATTTAAATAAGAATTTGGAAAAAAAGAAAAGAAAACGTAATATGAAATATAAGTTAAATATGACCTTAATTTCTTTAATTAACATTAAAAAGTCAATTTAATTTTTTCAATTTTTTTAAAAATCGTCTGAGTCAAAATTTGAGTCAATATTTTTATTTTTTTAAGTCGGTATCTACTGGACAATTTAATATATATATATATATATATATAGGGATGATTTTTTATTAGTGAAATAGAGCAAAAAAGTTACACTACACATGAGAATTTTTTAGGTGAAAATCTGATACATGAAAAACTTGCACATCATAGGGGAAAAGATTTGCACTAAACACAAGATAGGCTTGCACCCAATGAAAATAAGATTTTTTTTTCACTGTCCAAAATCTAAGTCAATTTTTAAATAAGTTTACTAAAGTTGAAAATAATAAGACAAATTTAATCAAAAGAGCTTACAAAAATTGGCTTATGTTTTCTTTCTCGTTAAAAAATAAATAAATAAAATAAAAAGATAAATCAAATGTTTTTAATTTTTAAAAACATCTAATTGAAACGAACTTAAAAATAAAAATATTTGACATAATTTTCAAATTTTTTATTAAAGATAAAAAAAAACCGATTTTATTTTTAATTTTTTTAGTGCTTAAAAGGATGCCTCTGCCTTATTATTTGGAGTCTTCAACAATATGAATTTTTTTTAGATTTTTTGGATCTGTGGTGTTACATGCACCAATTAGTATATTAACTAGTGTACTAACACTAGTTATGACATTATTATTGACCCCATTCATTATACAAATTACATATATCAAAAACATCTTAAGTTATGTCACATCATCAATTGATACACTAATTAGTGCACTAATTAGTACATATAACATTAATTTTTTTTTGGATAGCCCTTAGGTGAATAAGCGATTTAATTGTTGAATCACCTCTATCTACATGAAATAATTTATCCCAAATGTGTCTATTCTTTGACTCAAAATACTTATAATTTTATTTTTTATTTTAAAACACTCATAACCATTAAATTATATTTCAAGATTTTATATTTTGATATTTTCACATAATTTAATAATTATAATTGATTTAAATAAAATAAAATAAATTAAAAAAATTAAAAAAAACAGATTTAGGGGAAAGATATCTAGTCTATTGACTCGACTCCCAACTAGAAAAATCTAATCATGAGAGGCATTCATCAAGTCTCTAGAAACAATAATTCCTTAAAGAGAAAATTATTAATAAACTCTATAGTTGTTGCAATCCAATTATTAATCGAATCAAGTTTTAATATGAATAATTAAATTATATTTGTCATAAAATGTACCTAAAAAGTTTATTGTTCCACAATGATGTATTTCATCTCAATTTTATCCTTTTGATTTAATATAAACAATAATTTTATAAACAATTTGAACTTAATTAAAATTAAAATTCCTATTCTTATTCGGAAACTCTGAGGGAAACACTGGGAAGTTATCTGTTCAAATTCTGAAACCTTACGATCCCAGAAACACTGAGGGATGTATTTTTCATAAAAAATCTCTTTGAACTGGTTCCAGGTCATAGCCCTATTACTGTCTCATATCAACATCCCCCAACGCCGGGTTTCATCTTTTAGACTGTAAGTGGCCAACAAGAGAATAGGGACTTTGGAACATTGAAAGACTTTAAACAATTTTTCGGTTTCTAGCATCCATGTCTCGGCTTTCAATGGCTCAATTCCACCCAGAAAAGTTGGTAACTTCATCTTGTTAAATTTCTGAGTCAATCCAATAATGTCATTATTCATCGGTTCAAATTGTACTGGAAGGGGGGGGGAGGAGGCAATGGTTGTTGTCTTTGTAACGCCCTAAATTTCTAGCTGAAATGATAATACAACAATCAAGATTCAATCAAAACTATTTATAGTGATTTGATCCATGGTGGACAATTGTAAATATTATATATATTAGTATAAAAGCAGATACATAAAATAATAAAGAGTAGCTGTTTTTTGTTCTTCAAGCGTCATCAATATACAAAATAGGGCGACAGGTTTATTTTATTTTATTTTATAAGAAGAAAAACGGTTTATTTATATTTATATATGACTCTTGGAAACAATATATCGTTCTTAAATGCTTAACTCAAAAAATAAAGGAATAGTTAATTAATTAGGGCTCTTCATGACTTTTAAAAAACTATAATAAATTTAAGAAAATAAAATTAAAAATTTTTAAAAAATAAAATATCATGACTGACTCTTCACACTCTTATAATAATAATAGATATATTAAGGCCTCGTTGGACAAGTAACTTTTTTAGCCAAAAAGTTAAAAAGTTACTAAAAAAGTCAAAAAGCCAACAACTTATGCCAAAAAGTCAAAGTTTACTTATTGCACATTTTTTTGTACAAAATCAAAAAATCTTTCCAAACATATTAATTTTTTTTATATTATATTTTAATTAAAAAATAAAAAATTACTAAAAAAAAGCCTGTTCCAACCGAGCTAACACTACATAGATTTGTGTTAGCACCACCGCCCCATAATTTTTCGCTGCATCCAAAAGCTAAAAGCCAAGCAACTCTACATGGGACTTCCAAACCAAATGATCCTCTACTCATCCGTCCTCCTTAGTCAGCAACAATGGTGTATGATACTTCAAATTCGGTCGAAATTGCCACTAGTTTTGATTTTTGATGAAACTGGTTTTCACTGGACAAGTCCAATCAGTACACACACACACACACACACACATATAGAGTGGAGACGTGTGAAATTGAGATAATTTCTATTCATTAAGCCAACCCTTAAATATAACCTTAGGTATGTCGCTGTTATTGCCCATAAGCACTTCACATTTCACAAAAGAGAGCAAGAGAGAGAGAGAGAGAGAGAGAGAGCAATATGTCAATGGAGGTGTATAAGAGAGCAAAGCCATACTTGGCAATGATTTTGTTGCAGTTTGGGTATGCGGGTTTGGGTATTATATCCAAGTTTGGTCTAAACAAAGGGATGAGCCTTTACACCTTCGCTGTCTACCGGAATGCTGTCGCCGCTCTTGTCTTTGCTCCCTTTGCTCTCCTCTTTGAAAGGTATTTCTCTCTCCCCTCTCTCTCTCTCTCTCTCTGTTCTTTGCTCCATGAGAGAAGATTTTAAACTAATCATACTATGTTATTGACTATAACAAATGTACAGGAAAGTAAGGCCAAGGATGACCACTTCTATCTTCTTGAAGATAATGTTACTGGGCTTGTTGGAGTATTTAATTTATCTTTCCACCTCAAAAAACAAATACTTATAAATTAATTTAATTATGCTTTTAAGGTGAATCTAATGCATGTGTCTAATGTTTTTACTCTTATTGTTATGTAATTGTAATCAGGCCTGTGATAGACCAGAACTTGTTCTATACTGGGATGAAGTACACAACAGCTACTTTTGCCACTGCCATGTGTAACATTGTTCCTGCCATAACTTTTCTAATGGCTTGGATACTCAGGTAAATTACCTATGGATTTTGTTATCATCTGGAATTTTGTTATGCATTAAATAAGGTAAAATAACAATAATAATATTCATCTGAAATCTGTTATGCATTAAATAAGGTAAACTAATAATAATAATAATAATAATAATAGTTCACTATATATTTCACATATTTTTTATATATGTTAATATAATTTTTACACATATATATGAACATTAATCACCGTCCAATGGATATGGTTAGTATTTCCTATTAAGTATTCTATTATGACAACCCAAGTTCACACATGTGCATGGAATATATATATATATATATATATAGGCAAACAAATTCAATATGTGATAGATTCATTAAGGGTGACCTAAATGAATGTCACTTAGAATGAATTTAGATCAAACAATTCTATATATATATTGGAAGTTGGAGGTCATAGTCGAGGAAGGAGAAATCTTCCTTGTGGCGAGATTTGAATCTATGACTCTTAACAAGGCACAAAATTTTGATCAGTCCCAATTAGATCCACTTGGTTCACAAAATTAATTTTTTTATTCTTCTTTTTTTACCTTATATATGGGTAACTTTTTTAAATCACATATAGTAGGTTTGCACATAAAACCATGCATATGTACGTTGTGCACACATATATTCATGTGTTTATTAGTAAGTCTGAGAACTTATAAAATGGGTCTAAATTTTTGCCCAGAATTCAAGTTATTGATTGAATTGGTATATTATAGGGATTTCATATATAGAATTAATTTGAATTACATATTGAAAATTTTGGATAAAATTTTTAGATATATGCTATTACTGTGTATTTATAGGGAAAAGTTAGGCATCATGAAAATTTTTTCATGAAAATGATCATGAAAAATTTATAATCATTAGATTCCCTTGATTAGTGTGTGGTGTTTTATTCTAAGTGTAATCCAAGGATTACAAAACTTTCATGATTATTTTCATGAAATTTTTTTCATGATACCTAACATTGCTGGTATTTATAGGCATGCCGTGTTATTAATGTTGATAGGGGATCAATGTCCAAGTGATACAACTTAATGGTGTGATTTATAGGCTTGAAAAGGTTAATCTGAGGAGCTCACATAGCCAGGCTAAGGTGGTGGGGACATTTGTAACTGTTGGAGGAGCAATGATTATGACATTAATCAAAGGAGCACTAATTGGATTGCCATGGACCAAAATGAAAAGCCATGGTCCAATAACTAATACATCAACTTCTGCAAACCAACAAGACCTCATCAAGGGTTCTCTCATGATCACTGCAGGTTGTTTCTGCCGGGCTGCTTTCTTCATTCTGCAAGTAAGGGATTTTTCTGCCCTAACCCAAAGAAAAAAGAAAGAAAGAATGTGAATGATTATCCCAAATCAATCCTAACTGCTGGATTTGAATAAAGAAAAAAATTCAACCTTTGATTGGTAATAATTAAAGCCTAAACAAAATATATTTTGCACTCACAACTCACACAACATATAAATCTTTCTAATGTTAAAATATTAATTTCATCAACAGCCATATACAAAATTAACAAAATCAACAATCAAACCATCAACTGTCATCAACAACCCAGCAGAAAGATCAATTTCAATTTCATTAACAAAAGCCCTTGTTGCTGGATTTTGACCTTCAATTGGCTGGATTTTGTTGCTTTGTTGCTCAGTAGAAGACTTTGTTGTTGATTGGTTAGGGAGATGCTATGTAATAGTTTTAGGTGCTTTGTTGGTCTCTTGCCAACTTTACCCATTCTTTTTTATTCTTTTCTTGTGATTATGTGTTTGCTTAGGATTGGTTTAGGGTGCATGCCAACTTCTTGGGATGTTCCTTTTTCCATGAAGCTTTCTCCTTCCTCATTATTAACTCGAAATGTGATAATAAAATTTCTCTTTTGTTAATAAAAAATTAATTTAAATTAAAAAATTCAACAAAACATCAATTTCGTTAGCAAAATTAAAAAATAACCTAAAATTACAGAGGGAGAGGGAGATAGATAAGGGGGTTTTGCAAGGAGAGGTGTAGGAAAAATAAGAAATAACACATAGCGGAAATAAACGGATTCAACATACCTTTTATGCTCAAATCAAATCCATGGATAATCCTCGGGTTTTCTTTAGGATAAGTAGATCACGTATATTCCTTGATCTTTTGTTGCGGGAGCTTGAAGTACCTTATGTGTTCGTATTTGGCATGATAAGTATTATCTTTTATAAATGGTTAACTTAGTAGTTTGGACATTGACCTTACTCATTAGACAGTGGATATGATGCTCTACTAGTAGTATATAAATTTGCTACATGTAAGATTCAATGCACTAGTTAGGCGCATCTTGAATGAACGCAAATTGGTCATCAAAATATCTTTAGAGAGGTAATTGTGCAAAAGGTAGTGATCTTGAACCATTTCATGTGAGGCGCATATGGTGGATTCCGTTGTATATCCTTATCGCAAGAGATGCTGATAGGGCTTATGCTTGGAATCTAGAATTGCGCAAATTATAGTTGTGATTTTTCAATCGATCACTTATTTTGTGAGATTATGAGAAATTGATGCTATTATGATTTGTTTCATAATGATTAGCAGATGATGATGCCAGCATGCAAGATTGGCTCACTCGCATGAGCAATCTCCATTTTTTGATTGAGAGCGAGCCAATCTTACATGCTGGCATCATTATGAAACAAACCATAATAGCATCAATTTCCCATAATCTCACAAAAACAAGTGATCGATTGAAAAATCACAACTATAATTTGTGCAATTCTAGATTCCAAGCATAAGCCCTATCAGCACCTCTTGCGATAAGGATATACAACAGAATCCACCATGCGCGCCTCACATGAAATGGTTCAAGATCACTACCTCTTGTGCAATTACCTCTCTACAGATATTTTGGTGACCAATTTGCGTTCATTCAAGATACGCCTAACTAGTGCATTGAATCTTACATATAGCAAATTTATATACTACTAATAGAGTATCCTATCCACTGTCTAATGAGTCAGGTCAATGTCCAAACTACTAAGTTAACCATTTATAAAAGATAATACTCATCATGCCAAATACGAACGCATAAGGTACTTCAAGCTCCTGCAACAAAAGATCAAGGAATATACGTGATTTGTTTATCCTAAAGGCAATCTGAGGATTTATTCAATAGCTAAGGATCTAGCTTTTACCGATATGTAAGTCAATGGGTTTGTAATTTCGTATTTAGAATCATTTTAGGATATTCCTTGTGAGTCATCAAAGAAAAATCAAGAATTTTCCTAGAAAAATCCCTAAGGATCGTACATCCGAGCATATAAATTACATCACCCGTGTCTATCATGTCTAAAATAGCGGACTACCAACCCTAGGTGGCGATAACCCTATAAATTCCTGGTTTATAATGACTAAGTAAGGAAAAACTTCTTTTGGGACATTGATCATGCCTCAGTGATCTTCATTGATCATCATTGGCACATCATGGCTCGATAAAATCTAAGAACAACTATTTGGATAACAGTTTTAGGCCATAAAAGATTTATTAGAACTAGCAATCTTTTGCACTCCTATCTTTTTGCCATAAAACCAGAAAGTAAATCCCTACGGATCTACTTATCCAATTTTTCAATGAGAAGTTGGGTCACAATGTGTACAAAGTAAAGTTCTGAACTTGTGTCAACCGTAGCCTAAGTCAAAGTAAGCCTCATTCCCGAGGAGGAAGTCTTCTCATGGTATGCACCTTCTTTAATGGTGCGACTTTTTGGTATCTAGCGAGCCATTTGAATTAAAAAATGACTATCCAAAACACGTATAACTTTAGAACAATTTCGCGTTATAGCGGAAAGTCAACCAAATCCTAGAAATGGTTAATCTTCAAAGATTTTGTCTTAAAATGCCCAACATTAATTCACTTTCTAAAAGCAGGGGATTAGAGAGCCTTTGGCATTATGCTAGACTCTTTATCATAGGAAATTTTCACCTAATGATAACGTGAAAAATCTTCATATTCACCACTGAGTAGCTAAGAATGTAGAGTATTCTTCTCTAATGGAGTAATCCACTAGTAGGCATGTTGCTTCCATTGTTCCTAGGATGTTGGAAGTTTTTTTTTTTTTTTTCATTTCCAGCTAGGCTATATAAAGTGCTATACTTAGAATTATCTATCTTAAAAAGTTTCAAAACTCTATCCATGTCACATTTACTAAGAAAACTTTATGTAACTTAGTTACACTCTCACAAAACTGCTTACCTATAAGCACGTGACCAGGAGGGTTTACATGTCATCATATAACAATACGCCACATGACCCTAAGCATTTACAAGACATCATACAATAATACGCCACAGAACTCTAGGTCATGACTTTGCAACCTTATGAGAAGTAAAATAAAGTTATGCTACTTGATGATTACCAATCGCCCAAAAATGGCTCTCTGCTAACCCATTACTCAAATGGAGTGTAAAATCTGATATAAAGGCTACTTAGTTAGGGACATAGGCAACAAACTAAAGTGCAATTCCCAATTGAGAAACATATTTTGCCATCATTCACCTAACATAAACAATACTTAATTCCTTATCTCTACTATACCATTGTGTTGCTAAATATTATGAATAATCAATTTTCTAAGCATCATTTGCTCTTCATAGAGCTTTTTAAAAAACACTCAAATAGATACTCGCCACCTCGGTCAAAACTCAAATAGAGTAAAAATGGATCATAGAAGGGGTGCTAATGGAAAACATGTAATCAAAATCACAATAAAAAAAATTAAATTCATGTTGTTGAAACATATTAAGAGAGAGAGAGAGAGAGAGAGAGAGAGAGGAGAGGAGAGGAGAGGAGAGGAGAGAGGGAAGACCTAGACATTATCGGGTTGTCTCCCTATTAGTAGCAGTGCTTAAGTGAAGGTGCAAGGCGGAGCTTTTGTAATGGTAGTCGTGCTCTAGTGGTAAAGGTACAAGAAAAGCCAAAACAAATGTGTGATAGAGAGTTGAGAGAGATGGTGGAGAGGAGTAGCAGGATGGTGGAGAGAGATGGTAGAGGGAAGTAGAATGGTGGCAGTGAACACTAATGGTGGCAGGAGAGAGAGAGAGAGAGAGAGAGAGAGAGAGAGAGAGAGGAATAAGAGGTTAGACTTGGGAACTAAATAGACAAATTACCATTATTTGCGATGGTAGTATTGTTTTTCATTATTTGCGATAAAAATGGTTGTAGACACAAGAAAAATAATGGACTTTTTATGACTAATAATTGCAACGGAGCTGTTGCAGAGCTCTAATTAGAGCTGCTGAAGTACAGCTCTAATGAGCTGTCCGTGAATAAAAAAAAAAAAAAAAAACAACAGTGAAGTAAAAGATAAAAAAGGAGGAAAAAGACAAATTAGAGCTCTATTAAAGCTCTTTTTTTAGAGGTCTAAATCATTTTTCTAATTGCAATGGAACAATTGTTATCACAAGCAAATATGTTGTTTTTTGTGATCGTTTTATTTATGATGGTGTTTTCTATTACAAAAAGTGCAATTAACAATGGAAATTTATCTGGTCTCAAAAAAGAAAAAAAAAAGTTTATTTACAATATTAAATTTGTGGTCACAAATAAAACTGTCTCAAAAAAATCTAATTTTTGCTAGTGGCTTGACAGGTTTTACGCATGTACTAACCAATATGGCACCGTCATATGTCACTCGTTTGGTAACTAACGTCATTTTTACATGGTTTACAAAATGGAACAAATGGGACAACATATCTCCAACCTAGTCATTCGATAAGCTCTACCATCTCATGTTTCTAGTTTGAGAGTAGTACTATGTCAATGTGTTGAGTTAATATTTCGAAACAAGTAAATTTTTACATTGGTCAGATCAGATCATAAAGTCATTCATTTGGAGCTAGTGAACAAGAATTTCGTTTCACAAGCGTTGCATCTCTTTACTATTGAAAATGCAACCAATTCAAGAAAAAATATTATAGAAAATAAAGTGTATAATATTAATTTAAAGGTGGCGAAGGTGGAGCACAACCAAAATAAATCTACTCTACATATTTCATTTTCTGTAGTTTTTTTTTTTATAAAACCATTATTACTTTACTAATGACCAATGATATAATGACAAGTAAGATATAAAGTGGTTTTTTATGTCTGTAAGGCAATCACATTGAAGTCATACCCAGCAGAACTCTCTCTCACCACTCTGATATGTATGTTGGGTTCGTTGCAAGGAACTATATTGACCCTCCTTGTCGAAAGGGGCAACAAGGCCATATGGTCCTTGAGTTGGGATACTAAACTCATATGTGCACTTTATGGTGTAAGCAATTCTTATTCCAAACACAATATAAATAGTACTTGTTTCAGATTTTACAGTTGAACTCATAGATGATGTCTGGATGCAGGGAATAATCTGTTCCGGAGTTGGTTATTGTATTTTTGGAGTAGTAATGAAGGAGAAAGGACCCGTTTTTGTAACTGCATTCAGTCCTCTAAGCATGGTTATTATTGCCATCATTGGCTCTTTTGTTTTAGCTGAGCAAACACATGTGGGAAGGTAAGAATATTGCAATCCTCACGAAGTCATCGTGGGCTCCTTCAAGAGTAAATGAGGCTTTACCAACACAACATTCTAGACACTTTCTAAAAGATTAAAAATAAAAAATAAAAAAAAATTTAAGTCTATATCATTTTTATTTCATCGATTTATGTATTCCATCCAACCTGTTTAATTTTATTCGTTTATTACAAATATTCAGAATAATACGGGTTAATGAAAGAAAATGGAAGAACTAAAATGGTTAACTAAAGTTATTGACTAATTTTTTTATATTTTTTTTACAGTGTTGTTGGAGCAATTGTCATAGTGATCGGCTTATATCTTGTAATATGGGGAAAAAGCAAAGAAGAACATTCATCTAAATCAGACAATGACCAAAGAGTGTCATTTGATCAACATGATTGCATGAATCATAACACAGAGACTGAGACTTCAGATCCTGAATTTGTTAAGGGTATTACCAGAGTGGTGCCTAAGGATGAAGTTGTTTGAAGAGCCAAACAAAACAAATAAAATGTATGTATGTAATTTGATTTTGTTTTTTTAAACGAGGTACAAGTTCTATATATGCAACCTTAATTTTCATATGGTTTCTTACCTTTTCGTTCCCTTTTTGAGTAACTCCCTCCAAAGTTTGTGTCAATGAACCTTAGCAAGTTGGAGAGTTTTAATTTTTGAGGTAGGATTGTAAATGATTCAATTGAGCCAAATAGCAGGTTGTTTAAGTTTGGCTTCAAAGTTTATTAAGTTTCGAAATATGTGTTCAAGTTTCACTTATTTATCTTTTAAATCGACCTGGAATAATATTCTCTTGTTCTACCCAATGATTTGAGAGGTTGGGTTAGAATTATTAAATTAGTGGGAATCACAGTGGGCAATTCCTGGTTCTATTAAAGGATAGCGTCAGTGGTGGTCAGGAGTCAAATTCAAAAAGCTGGAGATGCAAATTTGGAAATTTGTTCCTTTTCTTTGATGTGGTCTATTTGGAAACTAAGGAATGATTTCTTGTTCAATGAATGTCAGCCAGATTTCACTAAACTTGGTGAGACTGTTAAGTTAGAGTTGCTCTATGTATCAAGTATAACACAAAAGTGTTGCCTTACTCAGTTCATGATCTGGTTTCAAACTTAAAGCATATCAGATTTTGCAAGAGTAATGGCTAGTAGCAAGTCAGGACCTTCTGCAAGGCAGAGATGTATCCCTGCTAATGTTTTGCCAATGGAATGGCCAAATGTAGACCAGGATAGTTTTTCTCATCAGGCGGCTACATTTTGTGGATCTCTATGGCTATTTGGTCTGCGTTCCGGAGATTGATTTATTCTGTTGTGTGTCTCTTGTTTTTTTCTTTGATTTGGGTTTTGTTTTCTTCCTTGGTTGACTCTTCATCAACTCTTGGTATCATGTTTGTCAGAAATTGGGCCGGGTATTGGACCTGAATTTTGGCGTCCATGTGGCATGACCCATGACCCATTCGGGTTACCCATCTTAATTTGAATTTGAATTTGAATTTAATCACTATCCTATTTGAATAGCTCACTATCAATATCTATATCTATCATATCTTATCAAGAGATATGGATAGATGGTTAGATAGTCAGCCTATATATCTGATATGGTATATGGGATGTGGAATGAATCCAATAATGAATGGTTTTTCCCATACTCTCTCTCTAACTCTCTCCCATTAGATTAACGATCAAGCTTTTGCACTGTGACTAGAGTGGGTGATACTCGTACTGTGGTATCACTCAATTGCGGAGTGTTCTTAGTTCGTGATTTATGAGGTACATGATTTACCCACAAGATTTTTCGTTTCAGATTCTATCACCTAAGGTATAGTTTGAATATTTGTACCTGCTGCGTTATCTGTATCTTACATTGGTATCAGAGCCTTAAATGGATATTTTGGTGCATTAAAATATGTATATAATTATATGTATACATGATATATGCATTAAAAATTAACATTTTTCGAACTTTCTCCGATCAACTTGAAATTTACATATGTTGTAGTACATTTCATGTAGAACATATCAGCAAAGTTTCATGAAAATCCAATGGTTAGATTGCACGAAAAATGAAAACCCATTTTACATTCTCGAAACTTTGTTTGCATGATGGTTTTACATGCTTTAATTTCAGTCTACAAATCTTATATATTTAGAATTCTTGTTTCGAGACCTTCAAAACCATATATTATTTGTTAAATTTGGACTTACAGTTGATGAGAAAAATCAAATCCTAATTTGGGTTCGTTTTGATTTTTTGTTGGCTTAAAGAAGAAGATGAAGTGCAGAGTTTCTGCACTTCCACTCTCATTAGAGAGAGATTGTAATATATCCCATTATTTGTGTTTGTTAAATGTCATTTTTTAGACTACCAATGTTTTTATTTTGGAAAATGGAGCTCGACACTACCAAAATTGGACCAGAAAACACCCCGAAAGGCGGCGCGTGAGCAGCACATGCCAGATAACGCTGTTAGTGCCACCCCACGCGTCACCGCCAGGCCGCACGTGCCAGGCGCGCTTCCCACGCTCATGCCTAGTGCCCTGCCCATATGCGCGCCGAGCCATCCCGTGTCGTTTTTCGCACCGGCATGGCTGGCTTGGTTGTTGGATGTAAGGCTTTGTTTGTTTGTTTCTTTTTTTTAAAAAATTCAGAATTACTTTAAATGGTCATAAGTAATTCATTATAGCTTTGTTTTAAGCGTGGTTGGTACTGTTAGACTCAAAATTAAATTTTTTTATTTACTGTAAAATTTTCAAAATTTTATGAAAATAAAAGTTGTTTTTCCTGAAATAATAATTCATTATTTTTGCTTTAAAATGCTTCTGGTGTTGTATGACTAAGTTTCTGAGGCCGAAATTTTTACTGTAGACTACTGTAATCGTTTACTATTTATTGGTATAATTGTTGGTTTTTCTCAGATTTTGAAATATTTATTTTTGATTTTATGTGTGTTTATTAATTATTTAAAATTCTAGAAAATACTAGAAAATTCAAGAAAAATTTCAGAGGTGATGTACTTTCTGTTATGGCATGATCTGAACATTAAACACATCATATTGTTGTTTTTTTGCCTAGAGTTTGTAATATGTTGTGATTAGAGAAGCATAATTAGTTTTTTTTTTAATTATTTAATTCCATTATTAAATGAATATAGCATGAGTTAATTGTAAATTTACATTAAGATGCTAATGTATGGAATTAGACTAATTATCATGCTTTTTTTTTCGCGCATGGAATTAAATTAAATTTGGTAATTGTCACTAGAGGCGCAAGAGATGATTATGAGCATAGCAAATTTTCGATCTTGAGACATGTGTAATGTTATCATTATTTAATTTAGATTCTTTTGGTACAAAAATAATTTTGTGTCAAAAATAATTTTTTGTTACTGTCATTAATAACCCCACGCACATTTATTCTTTCTTCACTTTGTATGTAGAAATGGCAGCTAAAACAGTGTTGGCAAACTTAACTAAATGAGAGAAATTGAATGGTGATAGCTATAATATATGGCTCCGTAAGATCCAAATACCTCTTCAATGGGCAAGATGTTTTGAACACACTTGAACAATTGATGGTTGAACCTAAATAGGGCAATACAGCTCAACATCATCGCGATCTTGAATTCTATCAGACTTGGAGTAATAAAGATCGGTGTGCGCGCTTTACCATGTTGAGCAGCATGCACAACGGCTTGATTAGTAAGTTTGAGCATTGCCCGACTACATTTCAGAAAAAGGCGCATCACTCGATAAAGCAGCATTTGAGGGTCATGTCAGCCATGATATATGAGCTTGAGGCTACTGGGCACAATTTGACTTAAGAGTAACAAATACAAGCTGTTATTCGCTCTCTGCCAAATTCTGGGAAGCAGATGAAGCAGAACATGATGCATATGAGAGTGTGAAAACATTTGAGGACATATCGCATCTTTTGGAGCTAGAGGTTGAGCGCCTAGATGCGGCTAAGTTTGATGATTCTGCTATGGTGGTTGAGTCAAGCTCACGTAGGACTTTTCAGTTCAAGCGTGGAAAAGCAAAAGGTGCTCCTGAGAAGCAAGCAGCAGCTGAGCTAAAGCCTAACGGCGCTAGAAATTTCAAGCGTAGGGGCAAGAAAGGTGGCAAGAAGGTAAAGGCTAAACTGACATGCTTTAACAAAGGACACTTCGCTCGAGATTTCCTTGAGCAGGAGAAGGCACTCCCTTACTTAATTTCTTTCACTCAATGCTTTGTTTCTAGTCAAGCATTAATTGCTCATTCTCCTCATTTTTGGGTTGTAGACTCAGGAGCAGCAGACCACATCATAAGGAATAGAGTAGGGTTCGTTGAGTATTGCCGAGTACCTGCTGGGAGCAGAAAAGTTTGCATGGGGAACGAGTCCAGTGTGAAGGTGCTTGGCATTGGCACATACAAGCTGGAAATGCAACAAGGGTGCACCTTGTATCTTCATGACGTTCTTTATGCTCCGGATATTCGGCGAAACATAGTTTTAGTTATTAGCATGATGAGCCTTGGTTTTAGCTTTTGTTTTGGGAATAATGGTGTTAGCATTAATTTGGGAACAATTTTTTATGGTTTTGGTTATCTTTTAGATGGTTTCTTAGTTTTGGATGTGGATGATTCAAGTTTTAATAAAAATGCCAATGGCTATGTTTTTTATATTGCATTTATTTGTAATAACGATTCTGTGAGATGGCATGCTAGATTAGGCCACATAGGGCAAGACAGAATGACTAGATTGGCTAGAGAAGGCCTTTAGGCCTACTTGCTAGAGTCATTTTGCCTACTTGTGAGCACTGTCTTGCTAGAAAGACAACAAGGAAACCATTTGGAAAAGCCAAAAGGGCATCTATCCCATTATAACTTATTCATTCTGATATATATGTGGACCAATGAATGTGAGGGCAAGGCATGGAGCCCTTTATTTTATCATATTTATAGATGACTGCATGCGTTTTGACCATGTCTATATGATTTCTCACAAGTTAGAAGCATTGGATTGCTTTAGATGGTATGTTAATGAGGTTGAGAATCAATTAGACAAGAGCATTGAGGCTCTAAGGACTGACTGGGGACGCGAGTATCTATCTGAGCAATTTAAAGTGCTCTATGAAGAAAAAAGAATTATCAGGCAATTGATAATTCCTGGGACTCCGCAGCAAAATAGTGTAGCGGAGATAAGGAATCGCACATTGCTTGACATGGTTAGATCTATGATGGCACAAGCTAATCTTTCCATTTTGTATTGAAAAGATGTTTTGTTGATTGCTGCCTACATCCTTAACCGTGTGCCCTCAAAATCAATTCCTTCCACCCCATACGAGATGTGGACTGGCGAAAAGCCTAATATGGGCAATTTGTAGCCTCAGGGTTCGGCAGCTTACATACACAACGCTTCTCATAAGTTTGGAAAGTTGGGCCCCAGAGGAAAGAAGTGTATCTTCATTCGCTATAGTGAGCATTCTAAGGGCTATGTGTTTATTGAGAAGCATTCGGATGGAAGTGTGACTGAAATTGAGTCACGTGACGTGGATTTCCTAGAGGAGGATTTCCCTATCAGATGTGAGGTAACTTGAGACGTAGAGCTCTGTGAGATGGAGAGTCTACTTGAAGGCGCACCTAGTAGCCTAGTAGAGAATAAGGAAATAATCCCTCAAGCTCCTAGGGATAATGGGAACGATTTACTTGCCTATGGATTAGATCCAATGGATAAGGATTCTCAACTGCATAGAAGCAATTGTGGAGCTA